AATTCAGAACAGTTTGCACACACAGTAACATTGGCAAATATCGTCGTATCAAGATCGGGTTTTCGCTGACTGAGAGGGGGAATCATGCTCTTTTCTTATTGTGTGGCATAATTCGTGGTTAGAGTGAGGATACTGCCGATAATTAGAGTCAAAAGTGTGGATTACGTCATGACCTGCCCGCCTATAGCTGATGCACAACGGAGCGGTCAGTGACCCCCGCGTAACCCGGCACGGAGCGGTTCCGACTATGATTTCATGACCTCCACATGTCGCTGGCCTGGGAAACTGAGAGGAGGCACGATTTCCGCCAGTTTTTGGCGCTGTGCGACAACCCTTGGAGAGGCGCTATTAGGAAATCTTGAAAAAAGAAACACAACTTCGTTATTCAAACAGTTTTGTACATTACGTTTTCTTCATCGCAAACTTTAAAACAGCAAGTCACAACAACATGACAATGACAATGACAATAACAATGACAATCGTTATTCATTTCGAAGGGAGAAATTTGTCTTGGTCGTTACCAATGGCAGAAAATGTTACAAAGGTTAGGTGCACTCATGCATACACTCACGACAAGATAGAGAACATGAGTAAATACATGTCTCACGTGCTGAAACAGCCCGCAGCGTAAAACATTCTCTGTCTCTGTCTCTGTCTCTGTCTCTGTCTCTGTCACTCTCTCTCTCTCTCTCTCTCTCTCTCTCTCTCTCTCTCTCTCTCTCTCTCTCTCTCTCCCTCTCCCCCCCCTCTCTCTCTATCTCTCTCTCTCTCCCTCCCCCCCTCTCTCTCTCTCTCTCTCTCTCTCTCTGTGTTTCTTATGTAGCACTGTGTGTTCAGTAACCTCACTGCAGTTGGAACGAATGAATTTCTCTATCTGTCTGTTCTTGCTTTTTTGGAAATGTATCGTTTACTGCTGGTGGATAAGTGAAATTCCGATGTCAGTGGGTGGCTATGTCAGTCAGTGGGTGGCTCTGTCAGTCAGTGGGTGGCTGTGTCAGTCAGTGGGTGGCTGTGTCAGTCAGTGGGTGGCTCTGTCAGTCAGTGGGTGGCTCTGTCAGTCAGTGGGTGGCTATGTCAGTCAGTGGGTGGCTATGTCAGTCAGTGGGTGGCTATGTCAGTCAGTGGGTGGCTCTGTCAGTCAGTGGGTGGCTATGTCAGTCAGTGGGTGGCTCTGTCAGTCAGTGGGTGGCTATGTCAGTCAGTGGGTGGCTATGTCAGTCAGTGGGTGGCTATGTCAGTCAGTGGGTGGCTGTGTCAGTCAGTGGGTGGCTATGTCAGTCAGTGGGTGGCTGTGTCAGTCAGTGGGTGGCTCTGGTCACTAAACATTATTTCCGCCTTCTTTTAAAACCTTTGTGTTGCGCAGATATTCAAAGTTACTTAGGTCTCTATCAATTGTTCTTGATGCCTTTCTGATCAAATTGTTTATTCTTATGATGCGCTGCCTTCCCAAATTGCTTCCCTAGCAAGTGATACCAAAAATGTATCAAAGTTTCTATTGTGGTGGTGTAGAATATCTGAAGGGTGGATGAGTTCCGATTGAAAGACCTACGTTTCCTGAGAAAGTACAACCTCTGATTTACCCTTTTACAGAGCGTATTATCAAGTCTGAGCATTTGTGTTTCCCATTTTTTGTTTTAAGATCGAAATGAACAGCAATATTGCTTTAGACTTTCCGCTGATCGGACATAGAGTGTGTCTACTGCGCTCTCAAAGAACTGAACAAGAGAAACGCTAACAATTGCTTCATGGTCTCCGCATCTCATTTACTGAAAATATTCTCTGTGAAATATTGTGTTGAAGTTTTGTGTTCTTTGTGGAAGAGACCAAAAGGGAGTTGAGGTGTTTATTTATATATTTATTGGTTTATCGATTCATATTTTAAAGACTTTCTTTCTTTAGTTAGTAGTTCATCAAAGCCTTTTGTCCCTGGCAGGGTATAGGCCACATACAAGCTCCTTCCATTTATCTCTGTCCTGGGCCATCCTTCCACCCCTGGCAGGGTATAGGCCACATACAAGCTCCTTCCATTTATCTCTGTCCTGGGCCATCCTTCCACCCCTGGCAGGGTATAGGCCACATACAAGCTCCTTCCATTTATCTCTGTCCTGGACCATCCTTCCAACTCGTTCCAAGTGAGCTTCATCTCTCTCATGTCCCTTTCCATGCATCCCCTCCATGTTTCCAGTGGCCTACCCCTGCCTCGTGCTCCCTGTGGGTTCCACTGCAGTGACTGTCTTGTGATGTTTCCGCTGGGCTTTCTTAAGGTGTGTCCCATCCATCGCCACTTTCTTAGTCCTATTTCTACTTCTATGTCCTTTTGTCCTGTCCTTTCCCCCAGCTCTTCATTTCGTATTCTACCCTGCCACTTATTTTTTAGGATACTCCTCATACATCTGTTGATGAAAGTCTTGACTTTATTCAGTACTGTCTTTGATGTCTTCCAAGTTTCGCAACCGTAGAGGAGCACAGGCTTGACATTGGAGTTACTTTTACTTTACTTTTGTCTTCCGCTTGTACCGGGCGGTGTCGCGGGGAGACACGGGCGTCTGTCTGCAGCAAGGCGAGTGGCCTGTAGGAGGGACATCCCGTGAGCTCTGAGGGTGTCTGCCACAGATTCACTCCATCGTCGCCTTGGTCTTCCTCTGGCTCTCCATCCAGAATATTTAATGTTGTATGCTCTCAGAGGAGCTGGATGGTTTGAGGGCATCCGTGTGAGGTGTCCAAACCCCTTGGAGTGAAAGAGTTAAATCTTGGTGCACAGTGAGATGTTGCTTGCTTTCTAGACTTTTGATAATTGATTGAAAGCTGACCTTGCCTTGGCGGTTCTAGTTAGTAGTTAGTCACTTTATTAGTTAGTTAGTACGCCTGGTTAGTTTGTTAGTTAGTTTCTCATCCAAACATCCCCATGGACACAAAGATACAGACTATTACTTCAATTGTCACACAAACAACATGCTACGAGTGCTAGACTTTGACATTAAGTAAAACCCATGAAAGCAAAAAAAATCATATTATTTCTTCTCAGGTATGCAATACAAGATGACCCGACATCTACTCAGCAGACCAACTGTGTGCCAACTGTACATCTACGCCTGCTGTCTTCTCTATTCCTCCGCCCCAGTGTTCTCTTCAGACGTCAACAAGAGGTTCAGAGCGCGTTCTTCCACTTCTCTGAGTCTCCTGCCCATAGGGACATACAACGCTACGTCAGTCTCAGCGTGCGCAGTACGTTGTGTTTCCCGACACAACAGCCACTACTTTGCTTTTGACCAGGAGACAAACCTTTGTCAATGTGCGCTGACCATTGTCCAAGGTACGGTATCTCCTTTACTTCCCTCGGAGCGTCTGTGGGATCAAGTGTCAGACGAGCGATGCAACATGAGCGCAGGTTTCGCCATGGCGGC